GTATTACATTTTTCACTACGATAGTGGCAAGAAAAGTTTTATTTTTTCATTACAAACCTTGAACATTGATATATATCATGTCAGAAGGTCGTAGCCTCAGTCTCGCTATCTACGAGATGAGACTTCAATGGGATCTTGACATGATGTCACCATACAGTACTATGCGAGTTGCAAACCCCAAGTAATGTACCTCTGATATTATTAATTTCTATGTTTCTAAGCATATTTTTTTTCAAGTGAAAAAATGGGTTTTAAACTCAGTGTAAGGGAAGTTGGTAAAGACGTCGGATCACGACGAGAACAGCAGCAGAATAGTGGCATTTGATTGGATAACAAAAATAATTGAGAGCAAAACACAGCAAAAATTCAGAGTGTTATTCGAATTAGCGTGATTGTCATAAAAACTTGGTTGCAAAATATTGACAGCCCACTTATCACGCAGATCAAATTGCAAAAAAATATCACAAGTGTGAAGTCGGCATTCAACACCAATAGCAAAACAATTCAGAAACTTTTAGACAATTACCGGGTACCACATGTGTGAGTGCTGTGTAATTTCCTGTTTGACAGACACTTCTGTTTGTCATTGCTACCTCTTACATGTACATAACACAAAAACTACACAGCCTCTACAAAACGTTATTCAGATTCCAAAAACATTTGCAATTTACAGTTTTTTATATCATTTTTCATTCTATAGATATTCAACATTTCATCAGTTTATGTAGTCTACCATTTTGATTATTTAGCAAAGTATTACGGACAAAATATGACATCATATCCACTGTTGTGAGAAATTGAGAAAATGATTTCATCTAACTTCAAATTGGTTGAAAGTTTAGAACATGTACCGATGCCGAACATGCATATAATATAGTTGTCATGGTAACAGAACTGAAAATATACTTTTTTGTGTTTTTCTACCAAATGCTCAATTTTTCAAATATTTTATACAATATATCGATGCGATTAGGTTATACAGAAGTTATATAACCTGTTGACTACAAAAAAGGGGGAAAAAGTATCATTTTTATTAATTTCACATTTTCCACAAAATCTTTACTTTTTTTGTTTGTAACATGCTAATTTCCATTATTATAATTATATACATCATGAGTAATATGCACACCGAAAATTTGAACTAATTCGCATCAGTTTTTTTCACGTTATAGATGAAAGCATTATCTCAATTTTTCACAACAGAAGATATGATGTCACACTTTACCCACACTACTTTGCTGGAGAATTAAGATGGTGTACATTATACTGATTATCTAGAGAATGAAAAGTTATAAAAAAAACTGTAAATTGCTTTCTTTTACATTTGTGGAGCTCTTTCTTCTAGGATCATTATGTTGTTTGCCTTGACTTCCCCTTTACAACAGAATATTACAAAGTTTTAAAAACAGCTTAAAACTATAGACCCTTACAATAGAAATTACAGGCACATATATGAACATAAAACTGTGCCACTGTAATCAGAAGTGCTCCCTGTTACACCATAAACTGTCCCAACAGCCTAGTTATGGTGGGCAGTTTATTAGCTATGCAACTGAATTCAAAAGTCTGGATTAATCATTTCTTTAGTTTGATGAGAGCCTGTTTTAATACAACAATGAGTCTAAAAATGAATAGAAAAAATTGAACCACATCAACACACAAGTCTCTCAGTCATGTATATTCCACTCGTTTGGACACTCTATATATGCTAATGAAGTAGCCAATCATATGTGCAATGAATATATGCATTTTTTATCACTTTTTTTTTTTTTTGCTTTGTCTAGGTTCCTGAGAATGGCTGGGCTAACATTGCAAGACATTTTTCGGCATCTACAACTTTGTCTCAACTTGCCGCTGTAAGTACATGCCCACTCCTCCCAATCCACAGTTGGTAGTTCGTATAAGAACTCGTATTTTTGTGTGTATTTTTGTGTATTAAAATCATTTTGTATAGGTATAAATATAGTTTTTTAGCTCAGCTGTCGACTTTGTCGAGCGGAGCTTATCATATGAGTGATTGTCCGTCGTCGTCCGTGTCATTGTTTTACTTTTTCGACTTCTACTTGAAAACTACAAGCCTGAATGCTTTGATACTTGGTGTATATGTACCTTGGGTAGACTTCTCTCAGATTTGTTCATTTCATGATAATATCTTCAATTCTCTAATTTTGGTGAATATTTTTGTCATTTTTTGTAAAAAGTGATATTTTTGACTTCTTGTTAAAAACCACAAGTCCAATTGCTTTGATATTACATATATAGGTACTACATGTAGACCTCTCTCAAATTTGTTCATTTTGTAATGATATCGTCAATTCTCTAATTTGGGTGAATATTTTTGTCATTTTTGGTAAAAAGTGATATTTTCTTCTTGTTAAAAACCACAATCATTTATGGTGAAAAATGATATTTTTGAATTCTTGTTGAAAACAGCAAGTCCCATTGCATTGATACTATGCTTATTGTTCATTTTCTAATGATATCTTCTGTTCTTTAATTGAAATGTGCATTGCTAACAGCGGAGCTATCTCAGCCGAGAGGCTGCTTGTTTTCATATTGCAACGTGATTTTGTATCTGAGGAATCTAGTCTATGAGCATGTACATTGCTATGTTGTTTGATTTCTAGTAGTTTGACAACGTTAAACCCCTGATTTATTATTACCTAGTACACACATTTGGTTCAGGAATTTTGATTTGTTGCAGAACATATAGCGAGATTACAAATCTCTTAGTTTGATCTTCAAACTGCATTCCAAAATAATACCCAAAGAGTTTGCCACAGTTTCTTATAAACAATACAGATCTTGGATTCCCTATGTATCTCTGTATATTTTCAGACAATTTTATCATGTTGTATTTTTAATCTAATTAATTATGCAATCTAGAGTGAGCCTATATCTAAATCTGCAAGTAACAGGAAGGTGACGATGATACCTGGTGATGGTGTCGGTCCTGAATTAATGTCATGTGTACGAGAAGTTTTCAAACATTCAGGTGTACCTGTCGAATTTGAACAAGTATTTGTTAGGTAAGTATATAGTTACCGTACCACACCATTTTTGAAAATCCGTGTGCTGCATTTCTATTTTTTCATATTTTGTAATCTTTGTAAAACTGACAAAATACAGATGTATCAAATTGTAATGTATCTGGTGATATGAAGCATGTTTGCAAACACATGTACCGGTAGTTCAAATGCAAACTAATCGGTGTTGTACACTAGTCCACAGCAAATACTTTTTAACATTTTCTCATTGCTTATTTATTTGGTGCCACAATTGCCTGAGTAGTATCACAGATGTAGACTGGATTGTTAAATACTGTTCACAATATTATGTTTCTCTAACGACATTAGATTAATTAAAATTGCTCTATTACAAGTGCATATAAAAGTGTATGCAAACTAAAAAGTGGATTTATTGTAGAGGTGATACTGTGAAAATAAAATCAAGGGATTATGCCTTTTTTCCTATATTTTGCATTCAACTTTTCAACATCAGTGAAAATAAATTTCATCCTAAATTTCACCCTTAAAGTCTATCCAGCAAAAATTAATTCCAGCTAAAATAAAGATTTTTATACATGTAGTATATATTGTAGTACATTAGTTGCTGAGATACACACCCACCACGATACATTGCATAGTGATCTTTCCTTTATTTTTCTCAACGCATGAATGAGTGTGATTCAAGATGTTGTGTGTAAACTGAACGTAGTTCTATTGAACTGACCTGATATCTGAATTATTTTTTATTTCAGTGAGGTTCACAGCCACAGTGCACCAATCAGTGAGATATTTGATTCCTTCAAAAGAAATAATGTTGGTCTGAAAGGACATATAGAAAGTCCATTCCATGACAAAGGAGAATTGCAGACTCTCAATATGAAAATAAGGTATGTGGATTGATTATTACCGATAGTCATTATTAATTCCTTTGTTTGGTATAACTTTTTATTGATCAAATGAGAAGTTATTTTGAGATTTCATACTTGTTATGTACTTTTACAGGAAAGGATTGGATTTATTCGCTAATGTTGTTAAATGTCGTAGCATTCCTGGTTTGAATACAAAACATAATAATTTAGACTTTGTAGTGATTCGAGAACAAACAGAGGGGGAGTACAGTTCATTAGAACATGAGGTAAGTCGCATAGTATTGTTAATTAGCTTTGCATGAACATAACTAACTTCACTGATGTGGTGTTTAGTCCTATATTATCAATAATGACTAGCAGTCCCAGACATGCTTTAACCATTTCTAAAGGGTTAATAACATTTTTCGTCACTTTTTCTTGTATTTGCTAATATTTCTATGAAATGAACCCCAATTTTGGAACTAACAGACAAAATTTG